TCTAATATGCCGTTTACTTGCTGTTTAGACCATTGTGTTCTATATACCTGCCATTGGAAATCCAAATTGGCATGCTTTTTCCTTTGTGTTGTATATCATTGGCGGCTGTGGCTGGTGTATGATTAAAGAGAAGTTAATCAAGAGCAATCTAAAGATACTCACTCCAATAATAAATTCGTGATCAGTAGTCCAATCTACAAGAGTGATCTCTGTTATTTAGGTCATACTCGGTGCTTTGTTGCTTGGACCGAACATGGAAACCTCAGGCAACGATCCGAAGGCAGTAATCTAGATGAGTCAGCGTCGGAGGTAATCGTTGTTTCGCCGGGAGTTGCTGGGACCTTTCCCGCGGAATATTATCATACTAATAATTATAATTTAGTATCATCAATGATCACTCTGCCAGTGCTCATATCATCCACATAACAGCCCCATTATTTTCATAATGGCAGCATCAACAAGTCACTTCCGATCACTCTGTGCGTCATCAAGGTCCCTGTCGCGAACCGCAATCGTTGCCCCCATCAGCTGCCGTGGTTATGCTACAACAGAACCCTCGCCATCAGCCACTAGCCCTTCAACGACAACGACAGCACGCAGACGGACAACTTTCAAAGACAAACTCAATGCCGGCCCGTCGTTTGCGGACTTTGTCGGGAACGACAATGCCCCTCTTGACCCCTCCGAAGCATATGCTCTCAAGACCGCGCTCGTCGGGCCCGCCGGCCGCAAGAAGGAAATGACTCGTCTGCCGTCATGGCTGAAGACCCCGATCCCCGACTCGAAGAACTACCAGCGCCTCAAGAAGGATCTGCGCGGCCTCAATCTGCACACTGTCTGCGAGGAAGCGCGGTGTCCCAACATCTCCGACTGCTGGGGTGGCAGCGACAAATCCGCCGCCACAGCCACCATCATGCTGATGGGCGATACCTGCACCCGCGGCTGCCGATTCTGCAGCGTCAAGACCTCCCGGACGCCGCCCCCGCTCGACCCGCATGAACCGGAGAATACAGCCGAAGCGATCTCGCGCTGGGGACTCGGGTACGTGGTTCTGACCAGCGTTGACCGGGACGATCTGGCGGACGGGGGTGCGCGGCACTTTGCAGAGACGGTGATGAAGATCAAACAAAAGGCACCCAGTATCCTGGTGGAGTGCTTGACCGGTGATTACGCGGGCGATCTGGAAATGGTGAAGGTGGTCGCTCGCTCCGGCTTGGATGTGTACGCGCACAACGTCGAGACAGTGGAAGCCTTGACGCCTCAGGTCCGTGATCGCCGTGCCAACTTCCAGCAGTCTATTCGTGTGCTCGAGGCGGCGAAGAACGCTCAGCCCTCGCTTATCACTAAGACCTCGCTGATGCTTGGTCTCGGGGAGACGGATGAGCAATTGTGGGATGCGCTGCGCCAGCTGCGCGCGGTCAACGTGGACGTTGTCACGTTCGGGCAGTACATGCGGCCGACTAAGCGTCACATGGCTGTGCACGAGTACGTTACTCCGGATCGATTCGAGCTATGGCGCCAGCGGGCGCTTGACATGGGCTTCCTTTACTGTGCCTCAGGTCCTCTCGTCCGGAGCAGCTACAAGGCCGGCGAGGCATTCATTGAGAATGTACTGAAGAAGAGAAGAGCTGCCTCTGGGAGTGCGGAAGCAGTCGGCGATCGGCCAGTTGCCGTAGACGAGGTTACGCGGTGAAAATTTCCTGGGATTCTCTCTATTTCTGTCTTTTGCGTCTCTAGGATTCATTATCGGCGCACAGTTGGTTCCTGGTACGATCATCATTGCTGTAGTATTCATCGTTTAGGCCTACCATAATGACGCAGGTTATCATATCGGACGGATTTGAACCCCGTCAAGTTAAATACGATACATCAATCAATGAATTGGAAACATTGTGTGTATGTTTTGCTATGTGGTATTCGTAAAATTTCATGCATATCTACCAACCCATCTCTTGCACACCCTACGCCCGCATGAGACGCTATACTCCGTACGCTTGAACGACCCACTGCCTCAAACAAAATCGGTATCCGAAAGAGCACTGTCAAGAAAAACAGGCAAAAGACGATAGTAAGAAGAAAACGAGAGTAGATGGCTCGCACATATCAAATCCGAGCCTTCTAGGCCAAATACAATAAGGATCGAAAGCGAGAAGCCTTCGTCCAATGCTCGCTTTGCTTGTTGACAGACGGCATTGAAGTGAGGGCTGTCCGCACCAGGCGGACAATTCCCATGCGCTCCTTTCATTCAAAAGAACATTTATGGTAAGAGTGATATGTATCGCTGAACCAAACTATGAGAAGCATGGCTTTCAAGCGTCGTCGGAAATCAACTCCTTGACGTCCTCTTTTGTCATACCAAAGAGATACAGAATGTCCAACATACTCTCACCATTGAGACGAGTCGGTGCCTCAAGCTGGACCTTGGACTTGGCGCGCCAGGCAACTCCAAGACCAGCCGCATGAAGCATAAGAAGGTCGTTCGCACCATCGCCAACAGAAACGACCTGCGAGATCGGAATGCCGTTCTCTGCCGCGAGAGACTTGAGAAGCTCACGCTTCTTGCTTGCATCAATGATAGGGCGAGTAGGTACAAGCTTGCCGGTGAGGGTTTGAGACGCCTCGTCGATTTCGAGCTGAAATGGGATATTAGTCAATGACGGGCTGAGGGACGTCGGCATGAGAAGGAGGGCAACCCACGTGATTGGCAAACGCATAATCGATGCCGAGTTGTCCAGCGAGCCATTCCGCCAGAGGCTGAAATCCTCCACTCAAAACCGCGAGTTTGCAACCAAGCTTTTTCAGAGCTTTGCACAGTTCGCGAGCGCCAGGCGAAATGGTGAGTACAGGCTTCAGCTTCTCGAATACGTCAGCTGGAACGCCATTCAAGAGGCCGACACGCTCTTTAAGCGACGCGGAGAAGTCAAGCTCTCCATTCATGGCACGTTCAGTAATTTCCTAGCCGCCCAAAGTTAGTGGTTGTGCTATTCATTATACTAGAAGCTGCCCGCTACGAACCGAGACTTCCTTCTCAACGCCAATGAACTTGGCAATTTCGTCAATCACCTCATTCTGGATCAAAGTGCTGTCCATATCGAAGACGACCAGACGCTTGTGACGACGGAAGACGCTTTCCTTCTGGAGAACCACCTCGACATTCCATTCGCGCTCGAACCGCCATATGCTCTCGTGTTTGCGAAGGTCGTCGAAAGAAAGGTACTCGGGGTTCGGCGGAGGAGAGAGAGTAACCTCTACGACGCGCGGCTGATCATCCTGATCCAAACTGCGATGAGAGGTATTCATGCGCTGGTAAGGCGTCGAGAGAGATTCCATAATCTGGAGGAAATTGGTCAAACACAGCTGGGAGACGAACGGACCGTACAGATGGTCGAGTGGCTCCGGCTCCGGAGCTGGAGGCTCCCGTGGGAGCTTCTCAATATCAACCGTTGGGGCCGATCCCACAGGAACCATGGGGGACGGGAGCTTATTCGCATTTGGGGAAGAGTCGGGATGGAGATGAGGATGAACGGGATTGGCGGACTTGTAGATGATAGTTGCTACCAATTTTGGAGTTCCAGTAGGAAGAGGATTTGTCTGATGATTGAAGATGGTGTGAATAATGCCGCTTTCCGTGACCTTTTCGGGATCGGGGCTGATTGGATTAACATGGAGATTAGAGAGCGACTGTAGTAGAGACTCGCGGGAGGCTCCCAGGACATCTTCGATGTTTTGAGTGAATGAAACCGGGGGCTTGTACTGTTGATGGTCCTGGATAAAGGAGTTACTCGAAAGACACTGTCGTAGCACCGGACGTGCCGGACGTGCTGGACGTGCGATAGGGTTGGGTGCTGCCATTGTGCCGCAATGTCGGGACACGTTCTCTTGGACAACTGGCGGGCTTCTCACAAACAACCGAAAGCGATCGTCCAAAAGGCACCCTGGTAGAGAACTGGAGACTTGAAGCAGACAGCTAAAATGATATAATGACGGGGATGGGTGACTCTGACTAGTAGCAGTACGTCGTCGGTAGTTTGTCAATTCCCTGTGACGATCGGCGGGTGGGCGGCACGTGGTGGGGTTGTCCCAAAGAGGAAAAACACATGAATCACGTGCAGGAGAATAAGCTGGGCGCTTCACCGCCCGGCAGAAACCTCAGCACCTGATCAAACCGAGCCGATTATTATAACTTGGGCTACGACACCAGTTGTTGGAACAGGTCTATATTCGGACTTACTCTGTAGATAGACACTGATTGTCTAAATGTCCAAATGAACAGCAGTATCACTATTCGGTGTCGTGTAAGACATTTGCTTCCCATCGTTTCGACGCTTACTGATATGCCAAATAGAGACCCTAGCATGGCGATTAGACTACGGGGCTCATCTCGGATGCAGCCCGGGAGCTGATAAGAAGAGCAACCTCTGACTCTTATGACAGTCTGCAGCTCGGATGAATTCGTTCCACCAGCATTAATAATGCTCATTCTCCTGTGTTCGACGCTTGTTCCAGAAGGGACAGTGAACAGGAGAGCAACCAGGCAGGACTTGATGACATAAGCCATTCCGGTCGGGCAGAGATACTGGAAGCGCAAGTATTGCGTGATTTCCCCAGGGCATGAGGAAATTGAATTTTTCAGCAATGCCTCTTGAAAGGGCAGGCGGTCACAGCCAATGTCGTGATTGAGCATGGCAAAATCAGCCGGCAAATGGCGCAAGTAAGTATGAGAACATAGAGGGGACAGCAGGGTGCCGTTACCGGATTATGTCGTGATTGTCCCTGTCTGCTTCTCCCTTATATCAGTCTTGCCATTGGCATCTCTGTTCTGGTCCTTCAATCAGTCTACCAGACTTGAATCTGTTGTGTTCTCTCTCTTTCATCATATCATCTCTGTATCCACTCTAGATCTATAAACATAACCAATTCATTGTTGCACTCATCAGACAAAACGTTCTTGTGTTTATCCCTTGTTTACTTTGAAAGAGTCCATCACGACACAACCCAGGATGCCTGCCAAGCTGCCTTCCAACTACACCTCTGATACAGAGGCCGCTGTCGACTCCAGAGATCTTCAGACAGAATCCGGCTATGTCAGTGGGGATTCGAGTGATGTCTACACTCCAGAGATTGTCTTCACCAAACCACACCTGCAGTTTCTTAACAGACAACTACAGTTCCTCGAGCCTCAAGGTTAGCCTCTTGTGTCCCTCCTCGGGACTCTCTAGTAGGCCAAGTAGCTGACAAGACATAGAAATCTTGAGATGGTGCATCACATCCCTTCCTCATCTCTTCCAGACCACTGCGTTTGGTTTGACCGGGCTTGTCACCCTTGACATGCTTTCCAAGCTTCAAGTGCCCCGCCCACAGATGGTTGATTTGATCTTTCTCGACACTCTCCACCACTTTTCGGAAACCCTGACTCTTGTTGACCGTGTCCGCAAGAGGTACCCTCTGAACAACATCCACATCTACAAGCCAGCTGGTGTCGAGACTGCGGAAGAGTTTGCCAAGAAGTACGGAGCCAAGCTCTGGGAGACAGACGATCAGTTCTACGACTGGGTTGCCAAGGTCGAACCGGCCCAGCGTGCCTATCGTGAACTCAACGTTCATGCTGTTCTCACTGGACGCCGCCGCAGTCAGGGGGGCAAGCGTGGCGATCTCGATGTGATCGAGGTCGACGAGGCTGGCCTCATCAAGGTCAACCCCCTGGCCAACTGGACGTTCGAACAAGTCAAGCAATACATCAAGGAAAACGATGTGCCCTACAACGAGCTGCTGGACCGTGGCTACAAGAGCATCGGTGACTGGCACTCCACACAGCCTGTCAAGGAGAACGAGGACGAGCGATCCGGTCGCTGGAAGGGCCAGGAGAAGACCGAGTGTGGCATCCACAACCCTCGCTCCAAGTACGCCCAGTACCTGATGGAGCTGGAGCGTAAGCGTCAGGAGGAGGCTCTATCGCAGGCGCTACAGAACCAGCTCACCACCTCTGCTCAGTAGACATTCTTTGTCTGTTCTTGATTTGCATCTTCACTGGCGTTCTCGGGTTACATCTAGCGAAGTTCACGCAGCCTTGATATCATTTGTCATCCCTTAGAGGCACCAAGCCAAGGGATTTATGCCGTTACGAATTGTGGGGTTAATGGGTTCAGAAGCTTGCCATGCCATATCCTTACCTACCCTTGGGGTTTTGTACATAGCGAGGACTGGCATCTTGCAAAGGATGACATATGGTCAATCCTTAATAACGATTAGCATGATAGAAACAACGATTTTCTTCGAAGCTGAATTGGACTGGACTAAAATGCAGAATTACTGGGTTTAAGCTATATATGTCAAATTTATTCTTCGTACTATGGGTCAGTCATCAACGAGCAAGAGCATATGACGTAAGACTATGAGTCTGTATCATGCATTCACTATTGCCAAGGTGATGCCCGGGCTTTGCGTGAAGTGATGGACAATCCAAAGACACATGAAATCCACGCCTGAGTCGATTTCAAGATGGTAGAGGAATGTTGGCATTCATCGGACTAATCATACTGAGGGGTAGTTACTCTCTTGTGCAGGTTGAGCGATGGCGTGATTAGATCTAATCTTATCAATCTAATCAACAATTATCAGCAGGAACGTAAGGTGTTTGATTGGACAACAGCAACCACCATCTTCAAGCGTCTATTTATCCTTTGGTGGAAAACAGGCTAGAGTATAGCAAAGCATTCTTTTCAATGAATTAATGGAACTTCCGAGAAGCTGACATGAGCGACCTCCCATCACTGTGTCTGCTTTATATGAGGTTGCCTGCACGTAGCATTCAGTGTTTGACCTGCTGAGCGCCAACTCATTCCTACAGGTATCGAACAGCTCGTACCCAATCAACGGCGTGTTTAGTACGATCCAGAAAGGCCAGTTTCTGGACTAAGACAAGACAGCAAGCCCTTTTCTACCATGAAGGCCAGAACTTAGGTTCGAAGTAAGTCCATCATCAGCCATCATGATGGCCATAGAAAGAGCTGCGAATCAGCTTCCTGTCATGCACGTCTTCCTACGCCAACGTTTGTTATTATTATTAACCTGACTGGATTCGATGTTACTGATAAAGCACTGATTCGAGGCTAAAGAAAATACATCGGTTTGACAGTCGGTACCACCATACTGACAATGGCAGGGACGAGAAGATAGGGCTGGCTCTGCCACGTGATACCAAGATGCCAAGAACGACCAAACTCAAAATGAAATAAATTGACAATCACGCAAGCCGTGCGGAGAATGTCGTGATGGCTCAAGTGGCCGTTGATAGGCTTATTGGTAGCAGCATGTGGCGTTTCAGGCTAGAGGGAGTTCTGGAGCTGTGGTTTCAACAGATCCGATCTGAGAATTGAACTATGTTTTCATTGCTTTTGTACAGAATATCTGTCCATCTATTATATGTTCTGTATCCACGACACTGACATGACTCCTATTATTGAGAGGGATCAAGTCTTAAGATGTGGGGAGAGGCAACGTAAGAACATCTGTCCACGCTTAGTAATTTTTCCACTTCCCCTGAAAATCATGAGTCCATGACTCGGTCTAGGAGAAGCTGACGATTCAGGAGGATATCCAACGGTTTGTACGGGGAGAAGTATTTCCACGGAGGTACAACTGTCAGCAGTAGCAGTACCTTTAGTCAGATGTAGTCTACAGGATTAGTAGATTGAATTGGAGATGGTAATACCGGAGTCCGAACCAATGTATGGAGTACCTAAAAGGTAGTACCTATACAGCATCACATCGGCGATTTCGGCGGCCGATATCGATGACGAATGATGGCACTACATATTGTTTGAAACAGTCGCATGAAGTGAATCAAGATATCGCAATCACCGACTCGCTGTATCAGCATTATTGATCAGGGGAAGGAGAAGAAGAATGATAGCCTAATACTAAAAATAATGATGGACCGTGGACGAAGGAGGAAAAAGGTACGCAACTACGTAGACAGACAAGGCGCAGCTCCACCATCGGACAGTGTACTGCCATTTGCCGGGACCGAAGAGAATATTATGGGGACTCGTCAAGACTCAAGGACAAGATTATTATTCTTGTTTCCAGTGCTACGTAGTCATCCGTAGACTACGGTTCGTAGTAATCAAGGAAGTCTACCTTATTATTACTAGATAAAAAGACTGTCTTCCCTTGGCTCATCTCTTGCCCGTTAACTTTTCCCTTCATACCCCTCTCTCTCTTACCCCCTCCATTGCATTCCACCTTTTGTATAACTTACCCCCCAAAAGTATTCTGTATCTTTTTTTCTTCACACACAAAAAATGGCCAATCCTCCTCATGGTGGTGTCCTCAAGGACCTGCTCGCCCGTGATGCTCCCCGCCACGACGAGCTCGAGATTGAGGCCGAACAGCTGCCTGCCATTGTCCTCACCGAGCGCCAGCTTTGCGATCTCGAACTGATTATGAACGGTGGTTTCAGTCCCTTGGAGGGTAAGCTTATTCCTTCAGTCTTCATTATGAGAGCAGTGAATATCTTCGATTCCTATCGAGGAGGCACAAGGCTATCGCGGGGGAATCGGAGGGAGGGGTATCTTATGAGGGGGCGTAACTGGGAATGGTTGCTAACGCGGAACTTCGCATACAGGTTTCATGAACCAGAAGGACTATGACAGGTATGCTCTCAGTTTTGCTCACGCAATAAACCACAGTCCCGTATACTGACGGCAATGATCTCCGCTCAGTGTTTGCGAAAATGTCCGTCTCGCCGACGGCAACCTCTTCTCCATGCCCATCACCCTGGATGTGTCCCAGGCCGTTATCAATGATGGCAAGCTCAAGCCCGGCTCCCGCGTCACCCTGCGCGACTTCAGAGACGATCGCAATCTGGCCATCCTCACCATTGACGATATCTACCGCCCTGACAAGTGAGTTCCATTCTGCTCCTTCTTGGCATCCGTCGCGCTTTTCCTACTTTCACCGCGAACGTGGTTTAATTGTCCTTGCGTTGTTTATCTGGAACAATATACGCAACGCTGCAATTGACCACAGCAATCGCTCCATTTAATCAGAGATCCGTGCGTATAGTGGGCCTGACTAACTCGTTTTCATTACGTAGGGCTAAGGAAGCCAAGCTGGTCTTTGGCGGTGATGAGGAGCACCCTGCCATCAAGTATCTCTACAACAAGGTTGAGGAATTCTACGTTGGAGGAAAGATCGAGGCTATCAACAAGCTCAACCACTACGACTATGTCGCTCTCCGCTGTACGTCCGATCGTTCGCTCGAGCTGCAAATACCAAAAAAAAGATTGCTAATAAACCCCGGTTATAGACACCCCCGCGGAGCTGCGTGTTCACTTCGACAAGCTCGGCTGGAACCGAGTTGTTGCTTTCCAGACTAGGTATATTACCATGCCATTGCAATAAATCTGGCGGAACTGCAGCTGACTGGTCTCAAGAAACCCCATGCACAGAGCTCACCGTGAGCTGACCGTCCGTGCTGCTCGCGCTCGCCAGGCCAATGTCCTGATCCACCCCGTTGTCGGTCTCACCAAGCCTGGTGACATCGACCACTTCACCCGTGTCCGCGCCTACGAGGCTCTCCTTCCCCGCTACCCCAACGGAATGGCCGTCCTGGGTCTTCTGGGTCTTGCCATGCGTATGGGTGGTCCCCGTGAGGCCATCTGGCACGCCATCATCCGTAAGAACCACGGTGCCACTCACTTCATCGTCGGACGTGACCACGCTGGTCCCGGTAAGAACTCCAAGGGCCAGGAATTCTACGGCCCTTATGATGCTCAGCACGCTGTCGAGAAGTACAGGGAGGAGCTCGGCATCGAGGTCGTCGAATTCCAGCAGGTCACTTACCTCCCCGACACCGATGAGTACAAGCCCAAGGACGAGGTCCCCGCTGGTGTTAAGACCCTGGATATCTCTGGTACCGAGCTGCGCAACCGCCTGCGCACCGGTGCTCCCATCCCTGAATGGTTCTCCTACCCCGAAGTTGTCAAGATCCTCCGCGAGTCTAGCCCTCCTCGCCACACTCAGGGTTTCACCATCTTCCTTACTGGATACATGAACTCTGGCAAGGACGCTATTGCCCGTGCCCTCCAGGTCACCCTCAACCAACAGGGCGGCCGCTCCGTCTCTCTCCTGCTCGGTGACACCGTCCGTCACGAGCTCTCTTCTGAGCTGGGCTTCAGCCGCGAGGATCGCCACACCAACATCCAGCGTATCGCTTTTGTTGCCGGTGAGCTCACCCGCGCCGGTGCCGCCGTCATTGCCTCCCCTATTGCCCCTTACGAGGAGTCGCGCAACGCCGCCCGTGACGCTGTTACCCAGGCCGGCGGCAACTTCTTCCTGGTCCATGTTGCTACTCCCCTCGAGTACTGCGAGAAGACCGACAAGCGTGGCATCTACGCCAAGGCCCGCCGTGGCGAGATCAAGGGCTTCACTGGTGTCGATGACCCCTACGAGACACCTTCCAAGGCTGATCTCACCGTCGATGTGTCGAAGCAGACCGTTCGCAGCATCGTCCACGAGATCATCCTCATGCTCGAGACCGAGGGCTTCTTTGACCGTTCTTAGAGTAGCATAGGCGCTTTGGATGACTGTTCTGTGATACCATTGGGGATTTAGAGTAAATACTTTGAAGGATCTGTTTGTAGAGTATACTGTTTCTGTGTGAATTTAATACCTTGATTGACCTTGGGCAATTGACCCAGTGTCTTATAGAATCATCGAGTATCAATAATTTCAACCTTTGACTTGGTCCGGTCCATAGCACGTGACCCATGTGTAACTGTCATAGGATGCAAACAACACAAACAATCCACAATCGTCCAATGCATCTGCAACATCTTCTCTCCAGAAAGGTAACGAGCTAGAAATCCAAAGACCATCGTCAACACCAAATATCAGAGCATGCTACCACCTCGGGTCCCTGCTGGCCGAATACCAGCAGCGAGCCGGCCGCTACTACCACCGAGCAGCCATGGTCTCCGCCATCAATTCCG